TGGTGATCCCCCCCCACTCGACGGCAACATATCCAGTGCCCTTGTCGCTAAGAGACAAGGGCGGGGAATGAGCCGTCGTGGAACCGACGACTGCCACGGAGCCGTCCCAGTCACCCATCCAGTTTGGACGGGGAGGGACAGAATAGGGCTCCGCGACTACGGCAACACCTATCGACCACTGTGCCATGGTTTGCAGGAAGAGATCCTGCGCCGCGGCACAGTGGTTCAGGTTCGTCTGGACCAGGAGGTTGGAGACTTGATCCATTACTGGATCGTCTCTACAACCTCCTCCATGGGCGACGACGTCGACGCACGAACTACATCGGAGGCAGCCTGGGTCGACTGGCTAACCCCCGACGTCTGCCGAGAACTGCGGGGAGGCTTGCAGCCTCTCTGCCCCATCTGGTGATTGGCGGGCTTATTGCCCGCCGCACACACTGGGCAGTGAGGGGCGGCAGAGCATTCTGCCGCCTTATGCCCCGGTTGACCGCAGCGGAAACACAGTCCGCCGCAGTCAAAACAGCTGTCGCACTTGACGCGCGTGTGTCCCGATGCTAGGCATTTGTAGCACCTCATCGGTCTCGCCGCCAGGACTGTGATCCTGGCGCTCACGAAACCGACGAGCAGCCTGCCGGCGTCGGCCAATACTTTGGCCGACGCTACGGGACAGCTGACCCACACGGCGCCAAGCCCTCCTGGACCGGGGCGGATGGTGCCGACCCTGACGTTGTCCGCGCTGCACCCCGTCTTCTCCCGGATTACAGCGCGGACATCTTCGGCCGTCACTGAGTCGTCCAGGCCCGAGATGCGCAGTTCCGCGCACTTGGTAGGCCTGGCGACCCTGACACCATCTGTGGCTGCAAATATTCCCCGCAGCTTCTCTGCGAAGGAGTCCGCCGTCTTTGCGCCTTCAGCCCCAGGGAACTCGAGAACTCGAGCTCCCGTCTGGGCGAGGCGCATCCTGACCCCCACCGTCCCAAACTCGTTGGCGAGGCTGTCCCGGGCCTTTTTGAAGACGGCCGCATAGGACAGCCCGCCGTCAGCCGCCTCCGGGGACACGGTCACAACTACAGCCGCGGTTTTGGGCGGCTGCAGCTTCCGCGGCCTCTTTGCAGAGGCCGTTGCCACCGGTGGCGAAGGCTGGGCTTGGGCTGCTTTTTGGGCAGCCTTTCTGGCCCGCCTTCGGGACTTCTTGGAGCCCCTCGCCTCCTGCCAACCCTCGTTGGAGGGGGCAGGTCCGGCGGGGCCCGGCAGGGGTGTCGGAGTGGGGAGCGGAGGGAATGCCACTCCGCTCCTCGGCGCCGTTTTAGGCCCCGTCTTGGCCGGCGCCTGGGGATGTGCCTTGGCCGGCGCCTTAGCCGGTGCCTTGGCCCCCCTCCTCGGCTTTTGGGGAGCCGATGGAGTCGGGGCAGACGCCGCCGCCGCGTAGGAGACGCGGCCTCCCACTACGGGGAGCGCGGTCGGAGCGGCGGCCTTAGGCCGCTGTGCCGACGCGAGCGGGGGGCGCATAATCGGCGCAGGGGGCAGTCTCGCCTCCAGGCCAGCCAGGCGTCCGTCCAGCATATTCCCAACTGCGATGAGGATTTCTCGCAGTTGGGAGTCAAATGCCCCTGAGTTGGTGGTAGGGGCAGGCTGGGACGCGGACGGGGCTTCCCGCTCGGGGAGGTTCGCCTGGAAGCGGGCGAACTGAGCACTCAGCTCGTTCACCCGCTCCGTCAGCCTCTCGTTGGCCACCTGCAGGCGAGAGACGTCGCCCGCTAGGCCCTCCACGACCTCCGACAAAGCGGAGGAGGAGTCCTTAAGGGCCCTCACAAACGAGCCCTTAAGGTTCACGGATTTGGTGGCCACCTTGTCGATGACGGCCACCGCCGCTTTCGCCCTCTCCTGCACGGACACGGGAGCCTGGGGGGCATTTCCCCCCACCGGCTCCCGAACCTTGAGCAGGAGATCCGCGATCTCCTCCTCCGCTACGGCCTCGCCGTCCACTCGCACGCTCCTGTAGGACTCCGCGTTTGAGAACGCGGAGCCTGACGGGGTCGAGACCGAGGCCGGTTTACGCGCCCTCCCTCGGCGACTGCTTGCCACCTTTGGTGGCATCATTTCGCCGGACGTGTCGGTTTCCACGTCCCCTGAGCGTCCGCGTTTTCGGCTGTCGCTTCGCTCCGCCTCCATGGCCTCCGCGCCATCCGAGGAGACGGCGGATCCGGAACGAATACGATCCGATGCTCTTCGGCTCCCAGAGACCAGCGTCAGACTGACTTCTGGGAGCCCCATCGAGATAGGCGTTCCCGACGCTATCTCACCCTCCGTGGATGACCCATCCACTCCACTATTCCTCCTCTTCGTCTCCTTGTCCGTTAGGCTTGCCTTTGTCTGTTGTGTTTTTTTTCCGATCGTTTTGTTTTTGGTTAAATTAAGTTTTTCCATAATAATCCCACGAGTGGGGGAGAACTAAAGGTCCACCCGGGCAGAGATCCCCCATTACCCGGGCAAGCGTAAGTTTTTAACCCAACCGAGGGGTCCGCAGGTACCTCGGCTTGGAGTGCGCTCGCGACTGAACTTCCCATCAGCCATGCATCCCCTGGCCACGCACCAGAACACGGGATTCGGGGAATTTTTTAGAGAGGTTATCTTCCTCGCGGTCCGGGCGGTTAAGCCAAGACCCTCGCCCCCGATCAGAGCCGCGAGACTTAACCACAGCGCTCTTCTCGGGATTACGATATGCCGACGGTTGACAGGGAGACTACGTCCCCCTGCCTGCTCGGTGGTAGTGTGAGTACACGCCGAGCCCGTCCTCCTTTCTCCACCGCTGTCAGCGGAGAAACTGTGGCCCCTACAGGGCCCCGCCATCAGGTTTTTTACCGAGGTTTCCTCCTCCATGCTCCGAAGAGCGAAGAGCCAGCAGGGCAACCGGCAGACACGCCCACCCTGCTGGACCAGGCCTTGCCCGAGAGCCGATGAACGGCTGCCTCTTCTGCTAGAATATTGGCCGCTGGCGATAATCCTCTCCTCCAAGAGGACAAGGAGGGAACAGTACCATCGCCAGCGTTTCCAGGGTGCACCACGAGGAGGTTTTCTAGCCCAGCACCCCAAACCCTATATCAACCCGTCTGGCCAGCGTGGTATAGTAGGCCAAAACCGCCTTTCTTAGGAGAGGCTTATGTTCTTAATTACTAAATAGAAATTGACGTTTTTTTTACTAATATCGTGGCAATCAATATTGTTTAGCTAGTTATTTTGTCCTTTTCTTTCTCTGTGTGTAAACAGCTTAATGTCCATGGACACTACTTGGTGTTAGCAGAATACTAGCGTTACTTCCTCGAAGTGGCACAACGCTGAGCTAACAGCATTTTTTGTCTCATGCAGCGATGTTTTTGTTTGCTTGACATTAGTATATTATGTATAGCGTATATATAAACATTATCTCTATCATCATCAAGATCCTTTAATAGTCCACTGCTGGACATAGGCCTCTCCTTAGGAAGGAGGTTTTCGCCTACTATTCCACACTAGCCAGACGGGTTGGTATAGGGTTTGTTTCAAATCTTTACAGTGCTGCTGCCCTGCGTAGTTTGCTTCTGTAGTTGGCTCTTACAACACCAACGAGATAACTAGGGGTGGTGACACTCCGTATTCTTAATCCGTCAACACACAGTCTAGTCTGTATGAGCACTAAATAATCTCCTTTCTTTCTGTCTTTCTATGTACAGTTGTGTCAATAATTGCGTTTTTAACAACACTAGCGTTGGTACATTAGAGGATTATGATCCTAAGCGTGCATAAATCTCTTATACAGAGTGCTTTTTTTCTTATATTTTTTTCTGTAACTCCTTCGTTACTTTTCACAGAGTTAGTGAAGGTACAAGAAGCCTCAAACCAACTCTTCACCTAATTCTTAAGACAAAGGGTGGCACACTGATGCCTTTTGAGTTGTATGTCCATGGCGGTATCAGTCACTTAACATCAGATACGTCTGATGTTGCCTCCTATGCATATAAAAAACAGACAACGTCACTTGACATCATTTATTCATACAAGGCAAGCGGTGTACCTAGAGTTTTTCATATATTTTAACGACTTTAAAGCACCACTGGGATATTCCTTTCTTATGCTATCTAATTTCGAAGTTTTCACTATTCGTACGAGTAGATCACACAACGTAAATTTTCTGTTCATCCTTCTTACTCTGCTAGCTCACATTTTGCAATCTTAGTGGTTTAAATTTTAAGTTTTGATATGACAAGTCAGAAAAAAAGTCGTCTAATAAAATAATAAATAAAACTTACAGTACAGAAGAAGGCATTGCATGGATAACCTTTTTTTTAACTTTATTTAAATTTATTATTTTTACGTACTAACATTTTTTTATGTTGATATTAATGAACATGTTAAATTTTGTACGAAAATATACCTATTTAAGTAGACAGCTTTTGAATCGAATCTAAATCATTCTTTAACAGTTTAGTTCACAGAATAATACATGTAACAGAATCCAATAAGATAGTTAAATCTAAAAAATATTTACAAAAATAGCGAAATATTCATATCTCCTAGTAAACAGTACAAAGTAATATTTCGAGCTTAGTAGCGTTAATTATTTCCCAGTTGGAAGTTTCACCATGAGGTGAGCCTGGCTAGCAAGTAGCCAAGTGACAGCAATGCTCGAAAGAGGGCACAGCATTCACTAAAATAACAACTTCCAGTTTGAAAAGTTATGCAATTTCATATTCATTGCTCCATCCCAGTTTAGTCTTGAAGGATGTAAAATAGAAAGCCAGAAATGGTTACTAAACAATCTGTATTGTCGGCAAGACGGACTGTTTAACGCCCTAGGGTAGGTTAAGGGTGCATTGTATACAGCTAACGTCAGATAGCCCGACAAAGAAACACATATCGTCGCAATTTCAACTTTGTATTCGTAAGGTAGAGTTGTCTTTTCAATAGTGAGGGGTATAGATAGGTTGTTTGAAACGAGGGTGAAGTAACAGGGGTGTTTGCAGGCAGCGGGACGCGGGGCACGAGGGGAGGGCAGGGTGCGTCGCGCAGGCGTGTTCCAGTCGCCCGCGCGACCCCGCAGCCGCCGGCCGCGCGCTATGGACGAGGTACGAGCGCGCGACCGCGCTCCGCTTACAGTCATAGTCGCCCCCAGCAACGTTTCACCATCCCGATTATCACCTGCCGACCTTTTACCCGATGGAGACGCTGCCTTCCACCCCTTGTCCGCAGTCAACGGACGCCTCACCCCGCCTGGATTGGAACCAGCGTCGTACGCAACACTTACCCCATTGCTACCTTTGCCCCCGATAAGTACAGTTTCGGATAAGTTCGCGTACCATGCGGGGGGGACCTTTACAGTCATACAGCAGCAGCAATCCTACGCATCACTATCTCCAGCAGCCTACAATGAGCCTCTGTCGCCTCAATCGGCGTACAGTAGGCGGAGTGCGTCACCTGGTTCCTTCGAGAGAAGGTCCCCGACGCCACCGCTGCCGAGTCCCGGGTTAGACTTGAACGCTGCGCTTCTGGCAAGAGAAGAACAGCAAGCGGCTCAACAATCTCACCACGACTCAGAAGAAATAAATACTAAAGAATTAGCCCAAAGAATAAGTGGGGAGTTGAAGAGGTACTCGATTCCCCAGGCGATTTTTGCTCAGAGGGTGTTATGTAGATCACAGGGGACGCTGAGTGATTTATTAAGAAATCCAAAACCATGGTCGAAGCTCAAGTCTGGGAGGGAAACGTTCAGGCGTATGTGGAAATGGCTACAAGAGCCAGAGTTCCAGAGGATGTCTGCGTTAAGACTGGCAGGTATGTAGAGCATGTGTTTCATGTAGAAGTAGAAGTAGAACACGCTTTTGCTAGAGGAAAGGTAAGTTCCTGAAGTTTTTTGGACGGATTTTTATTGTGGCGTACCACGTGGTACAATATTGAGTTTCGTTTTGTTGAAGAATATTAGATATATTATGTTCTTATTGGGAATTTCTGAACCGCTGAGATTAAAAAATACAATGTAGGTAAAATTTAATAAGGTATTATTTTCTTTACTAAAAAAAAAAATGGTTAGTGATACGTCGTTTTTTTTTCAATAATGAACGACGCGCACTTAATTCAGCCCACTCTGAAATAATGTAGTCTGACCTTGATTTCCACGTGGACTTAAAATTAAGCATTGAGATGGCAACATTTTGTATCTAGATTATTATACTGACATTTGGAGTGACTTTCTAGACTGATATGTATATTTATGAAGGAAAAACATCGAAAAGGTTTTTGTTTAAATTGTCTACTTTAGCGGCAACTACATTTAAGAGCAGAGATCAATCTTATATAATTTATTTTTTTGAAAAATAAATTGTCAGAGCTCCCAAGAGTTGTCCCTCCTACAACTTTTTATTTGAGGAGATCCATAAAAAGTGTTTTTGAATATTATTGTCGTGTGGTGACGGATTAAGAATACGGAATGTCACCACCCCTATTCATCCCGTGGGTGTCGTAAGAGCCGACTAAGGGAAGAAACAAACAAGACAATAGCACTGCAAAGAGAAGGAAAACTTGAAACAAACCCTATACAACCCGTCTGGCCAGCGTGGTATAGTAGGCCAAAACCTCCTTTCTAAGGAGAGGCTTATGTCCAGCAGTGGACTGTTATAGGCTGTTGATGATGACGTTGTGTTACATAATAAATGTCCCTTAAAACAATACAATATTGGTTACTTGACTGATAGGTTTTGGTAGCTTAATTATAATCACACATCCATAGACACGTGTCAGGATGTGTGTGTGTGCATATACGTGTACTCGCTCATATACATACTAGTAGACACACCCACTTCAGTTTATTGTTAATTTTTAATTGTTGTATGATTTATAGGAGTTTATCGCAGACACAGTTGTTGTATTCTTATTATTTAATTTCATCTAATATTATAAATACGCCTTTTTGTTTGTTTGTTACGTTTTCTCGGGCTAACTACCCGTAGTCATGGGTACAGACACGAATACAGGGTGCCTTTTATACACATTCTTCTGTATATGTTAACGGTAATTAAAGCTTATGCACCATGAAATATTTCAGTATTTTTAGGGTTCCGTACCTCAAAAGGTAAAAAAGGAACCCTTATAAGATCACTTTCTTGTCGGTCTGTCCGTGTGTCACCACCGATTTTCTCAGGAACGGGTGGGCCTAGCAATTTGAAATTTATACCAGATACTGAGGTTTATGGTCCCTATTAGGTGTATAAAAATCAAGCTCCTGAGTCAACATGATAAAAAGATATGGGCTAATTTCGATTTTCGAGAAAACTTGTACGTTAAACGTTTTTCAGAATTTTCTTTTTACTTGTGCTGTAAGACCTTGCTTTTAACCAAAATTGACAATTCTAGGTCAACCGGAAGTACCCTATAAGTTTTGGGTCGAAAACCTATATGGTAGTTCCCGTTGACCTAGAATCACGAAATTTGCCAAAAAGAAATGTCTTACAGCACAAATAAAGGTATAATTCCAAAAAAAAAGTTGAAAATTAAGAAAAATTTTGGTACTTACAAATTTTCGCGAAAATCTACGTACAATCTGGGTAGGTACGGAACCCTCGGCGTACGAGTTCGACTATTACGTGACCGTTTTTTTTTAAATTATTATTTACAAGGGTGATGCGAGGCACTTCAGTGGTCCTAAAGACACCTGCTTTTGTCATCACTTACCAACCTCACTATGGGTATAATACTTGTATGCAGACTTTTTTTTCGTTGGCGAGCTATGCTTGGTGCGAGGTTACCAGAGTGGATACTACGGCCTCACAGAAAACCGATGTAAAGCAGTTCCTTCATCCTCATACAGTGTGTCTGGTTATCGAAGCCCTTGCTGTGGCGGGGGACTCAACTTGTATGGGTGGGCACCACCGGAGTAGTACGTCCTCACAGAAAACAAAAGTAGGCCCGACCTTCAAGCAGAAAAGTCGGGCCTCCGGCTTCTCCACCTTATTCAGGCGGGAGCACTCTCACTCTCACAACACATTTGTTACTCTTAAGTTCAAGGTGGTTTAAGCCTCAAGTGACCCGTGTGTTCCTTTTCTCTTATACCATAAAATGCCTACATCATGTTAACTTTTTTTGGTTCGTTCTTTAAATATTTCCAAGATTTAAAAAAAACAATTTCTAGTTTATCATCCTAATGAATAAAATACCTATTGGTAACGGTTTTTTATAATAATAATATCGTTTATTTCTCACCAAAACGAAAATGCATACAATGAAAATACGATTACGCTATAACATTTGACAATTTCGGTAGAGGATCGCTGGTGCCTGAGGTAGGTATAAAAACCTGTGTTACAGGACACCAGGTCCCCACTCGGACCTCGTCTTGACATTTCAAAAAGTTATATCTAATGTAGGTTTATCTCGCATTTACCAAACTATTTTGAACTTCCACAAATTGAACACTTACAACATGTGAATTAAGTGTTAAATAAATAACCGAATTCGTTTCCTATAAGAGTCCTTTTTAAAGGATTCCAAATATAAGGCCCCGAATTGCGTATATTTTTATTATTACGGTATTTATGTAAGTACATTTCTATAAACGCAATTTTCTTGAAAAATTATAGACCAATTGTCATGACTATTTCATAAACACATTGTAAGTATTTTCAGCAAAAACTTTAAGTATATAATACAATAGGTGTTCATTCAATCTTTTATCGACTTTGTTTATCAATTTTTCCTGTATAAAAGCCTATGTGCTATTCTAGATTATATTCTACATCTGGTTCTTTTATCCAGGACTATTTCTAGTGTGATTGAGTGACAAACATTCATCCTTTTAAATACTGTTTGTAATAATTATTTAAACATATAAAATTTCTAGCCCTCACTGACTGAGTCATCAGCGGTGAGCCTACACCGCCGGGGCCACGAACTTGAAATCTTAAAAGCACCACTGAGATTATTATTTTTTAAATTCATCCTCAAAGAGGTAAAATAAGGGATGAACGGTTTCTTTTTCTTTTCCTTTTTAAAAAGACAACTCCCGCATTAGGAATATATCCTATGTCGCGGGGGACTTTACAAACATACATGAAACGGACACAAAGAACACTAAGACTCAGAACAACAATTTGTGGATTACACAAAGTGTCGTCCCATGTGGGGATCGAACCCACAACACCCATCCGTGCAGTCAGTCGTTCTTGGGAACTTCGTCATTTTCTAAGTTAGTTAATAAATAACAACGCAAGCGAAGCCACGGGTGAGAGCTAGTGGGATATGTGCATTTGTTACCAGCAGTAACTACACCGTGTGTACGGCTCTGGTCGCAGCCCCCCTAGGCCCCCTCATACGGTTTTACCCTAAGTTTTATAGGTATCGTGGGAATCGTACGGGTGTCACGTACCTTTCGTAGCAACATGGGAAGTATATAGCGTTTCTGCTTCGTCACGATATTGTTTAACCGTATTTGTGTAGTGAAATTGGTAGGAAGAGTAATATACATTTTTGCTTCAATTCTGGGTTGATGGGTGTTTGCTCTTAAATAGAAGGAGAGCTATTCTTCGGCATGAATGGGCGGGTTCGAACAGGGTGGTACCACAGCCTTACAGAAAACCGGTATCAGGAAATTATTTCGGAGCCCTGTTCCCCGGTCTCTATGCATTGCAGTTGGAGGTGTCCGTGGGCGGTGGTAGTTTCTCACCATCAGGTCCGTCTGCTCGTTTGGCCCCTTATACTGTAAGAGAGGAAGTTGTCTCGTTCAAGGTAGCAAAGACAGTTATTGTGGTTGGTTTTCGTAACCAGGTATCATCAGACGGTCCATACACGTTCTAATAAACAACGTCTCTGATATTCTTGTAATTTTTTTTTTATTCTTCTTCTTCGTCGTAAAATGCCTGGGCAAAATTCCGCCACAGCCACGATATTGTCAGTTGCTCTCCACAGATCCTCTACAGTGTAGCTGGAGGGGCACAGTAGACAAGAAACCAAATGTGGCGTGGTTTGCATCGGAGAACTATATTCACAGCGCGTTTGTGACTGGTCGATGTAGCCCCAATTTGCCATGTTGCTCTTGCAACGACCAACATGCTTACGTACAGCAATTCAATGATGTCCATGTTGGCCATTGCAGTCGGTGCTTTGTGGTTTTGTGGCGACTCTCACATACCAATAAACAGAAACATACTACAGCGCCATCTAACGAAGACACACCGAACTACGGAGTAACTACTAAATGAGAATTGCTAATCCTGTATCGCGATATGCGAAGATACGCGAAGAATTCTCTCGCCGATTAGCATGTTTACAACTGCCCAACATCAACCGTTGGGCTACGGCCCGCCAGGCATGATCACTTCGCCTGGTCGGAGGATCCTCCCTTTGTGCCGGAGGGACATGACACCCGTTCCTCCACAGTTTCAAAACAATGCTATATACAGACGAGATAGTTGGTTGGTTAGTAATCTAGACAGCTACGCCAAAGGTTGTAGGTTTGATTCTTTTTCTGGGTATAATTTAGTTATAATATGTAAATATATTGTAATATATGTTTATCAGCAGTCTGGTTCCAAACTAGACAGTATCTGAAGTATGGCTTCAGATACTGTCTAGTTTGGAATCAGTTGGCTTTTTGTTTAGTATCTACAAAGCTTTATTCGTATACTATATAGTAGACAGGCCTGTTGGTCTAGTGGTAAGTGACCCTGAATGCTAAACCGGAGGTCCTGGGTTCGATTCCCACCCAGGACAAATATTGTGTGATGAGCACGGTTTGTTCTGTGTCTGGGTGTAATTTATCTATAATATGTATTTATTTAAAAATA